GACCAGAAACACTTCCTGTACAGAATCATTATAAAGGCACAGCTGTGGAACAGGGAGGACGTTAGTCTGAGCATCACAAGCCACATAAAGCAACCTGTTACAAGCTCAAAGTGTTGGTTCATTCACTTTATCCTGTTCATGTGAGCAGAACAGGCATCAGCCAGCAGAAGAAGGTCTCTGGGCAGCTTATAGGACGTAGAAACCTGCCATCTTTGAATATCCAGTTCTCCTGAGTATCTATATGAGTCATGAACATATCGGCCTACAGTGCTGCTAGTGGTCCATGCAGCCTCTTCTGATGCTTTCATCTCAAACAGCATCCCTCCATAAAGAGGCTGGATGCAGAATAGCTCCGACCAAATGATTTGAACCGCAGTGACAGTTATGGAGAGTTACGGCGACACACCTGAACCTCGGGTCTTCTGCTGTAATCTATGTGTGCGTGCTGGAGATGAATGGTGATTGTGTTACGGTGTATTGTCCTCCGCTCTGAGCGCTAAACGATGTGATGATGACACGCCGCGTAAATCTGCCCGGCTGCTACCGAGCCGGCGTGTGCGCGGCGCTTCTGTTTTCTTTATGTGTGTGTGTCTGTTTGGCATGCAGAGGGCAGCGCAGCAGTAATTAATGACTCGCTGCTAAATGGTGCTATGCAACCCTACATGGTAATGAGAAGGCTTTGGTGTGAGGCCAGGCATGACAATCAGCTCAGCAGAGAGACGACATCAGGCCGAGCAGGTGACGCTCTGGTCGCACAGGCCGGAAAGGACGAATCCAAAAGAAATATTTTGCAGCTTTTTTGTCATCCGTGTACAAAAGCCACATGTGGTTGACGAGTGTGTCTGAAGCAGCAGCTCTGTTGTTTCATGGCTGTGTGCGTTTTATTGTGGCTGTAGATTCAGATAAAGGCTATTTGTCAAGATGTGACACACATTCAAAAGAAGAGTTATGCAAATGCACACAGCTAAAATTTAAATATCCTTTCAAAGCACGATCTTATGGCAGCGCTCTCCAGCACTCACTGGAGCTTTGATAAAGAGGAACCGTTTCCTCCTCCGCTGGAATTGCAGCTGGTAATTGTTTGAGGCGCAGCGTCGCGTCCGACCAGCTCAGCAGGCAACAAGGTAAAAACCCGCAGAGGTTTCATTAAAGCACAACTTAGGGCCTGAGAGGGAGCTTTTACTGTCACTGGTTTGTGCGCTGCGATATCCTCATCGTGATCGTTATTGTCACGGCATCATTCAAGTTAAACGCTCCCCCAAGCGTCCTGATGGAGACGCTCTCTGCTTGTCGTTCACCGTCGTCACACTTATCAATAGTACATGAACCGCTCTGTGACTAAAGCCGCTCTCTGTGGACGTCATCATTCATCCAGCGTCCATCCTGCAGAGCACTCTCAGTAACGTGTTAATAAAAAGAAATGAATTCAAGCTACCAGCAGACATATAAACGTTTTAAAGTGAACGACAGCCTTGCATTCGAGACACCTTCTGCTTTTTCACAAATCTCAGTTAGATTCCAAAACACGTGTCCCTGTGAATGAAGAGAAAACCTGTGCATTCATGTAAATGGATGTAAGCAGCAGATCCCATCAGTCCGGGTGACAAACGTCCGTCCTGGAGACGCTTCCAGACTTCATCCAGAAAATACGTCACACCTGTTTTTTGCAGAAGCATCTCATCAGTAATATGAAACGAATGTTTTGTCAAGGTATCAATTCATCAAGCTCCCCACAAACCGCCATGATCCTGTTTTCATATGCAAATTAAATTTACTTGGCAGAATGTGATGGAGCAACGTCAGCGTGGAGCTAAATCTCCTTCATGTGTGCCATCAGTCAGCTGCTGTTCATTAGGAAGGTAAAGCGCCACAGTTCACTGTAAATGCACTAATGCAGGTTAATGTCTTCGAAGAGAAAGACAGACCGTTTGTTACTGAGGTAGCATCGCTCATAGGTGCCGGGTTTGTTGTAGTATTTTAGATTATGGGAGGTTTTAAATGTTCAATTTAATTTAATCATGAATTAGTAACGAACCAGGAGGTTGTCAGTGAATATTAAGACCTGATGTTATAACGCTGGGATTTATGCAACACATTCATGTCCACAACTCGTAACTTATACAACATTAGTTCATCCAGATTTTGGTTCTCTGATGTTTGCTGACCTGTTTAATTTGGTTTAAGTACCGTTGTATCTCTGTTGCAGTCACGTTTGATGAAGCAGAAAACGGATGAGTTTTATAACTAGTTCTGGATCATTTGTTTCCTCGTGTCGCCCAGTGATGACTGTTGAGACGAATATCTGCCGAACAGAACCTGTTCTGGGGTTGTTTGAAATTCCCAGTCTCGCTCATGGTGTTCCTCAGGGGTCAGTCTTGGGTCCGTTTTCCTTCTACATGCTACCCATTGATCAGGTTATCAGTAAACCAAATGTACAGAATCGTTGTTATGCAGATGACACCCAGCTGTATATCTCATCACGTCTAACCCAACTCACTGACTTTCTCACATCCGTTGCAGGATCTCTGAAAATTGTCTCAATCTCCGTGATAACAAAATGGAAATTGTCTGGTCTGGCACACTCGGTTCTGTCAGTCGAACAGGCTCCAACCTGGAAGCCAATCAAAGTGCATGAAGACAGCTGTTAGAAATCCAGGTGTCTTATTTGATTCTTTGATTTGATGCCTTGGTGGTTCAGTCCTATTTCTCTCCCCTTAAGTTAATTTCAAAAATTAGATTCTGGCCATCTTTTTAGGATCCACACCAGGTGATCGAGGCCTTGTTTCCTGTCCAGACGTCTGTAATGTGATCTGCTCAGGTGTTGCTTTCTTCGTCCTGTTCTAGTGGCTCAAAATGCTGCTGCCAGGATTATTACCGCCTCAACCAAAGAGAACAACCTCCCTGCACTGGCTTTAAAACTAAGATTTAAAACTTTGGCTTTAACGGCCTTACGTGACCACCTCCTGCTTGTATTTAGGCTCTGCTGACCCTGTGTGGTGTCGCCTTAGATCAGCAGTGGACGGCGGGTTGTGGTTCCCTGTGACCGACTGATGCCCCCAAACTGTGGAACGACTCACCTGCTGGGATTGGATTTACTAAATCTGCCACTGCTCTTAAAACTTTGCTTTTTGGAAAACTTTCTCGTCTGTGTGACTTTTTATTTATTTTTATTCCTCATTACTGATTTGCTTTTGGTTTACGGTTGTTTTATTCTTGTTTTAACCTTTTTGCAAAGCACTTTGCAGCATTAAGACATTTCATATTATTTAGTTATTGTTGTTGTTGTTGAGGCTCTTGCATTTTAGTGAATTTTTTTTTTGCTTTGCCGTTGCTCAGAGACGTCGATAAAACACATAATTAGCATGTTGATAAAGAGTGGGGTGGGTCATAAATAAGAAATCTGAGATAATGCGTGAAGTCACTTCAGGGGTTTTAAGGATATTTATTTATTCGTGTTTGTCGGGACCCAGCGGCTCAGTGCTTTTCCTGGAGGACTGATTTTATTCTAATGCGGCTGATTTACCAGGAAACCAGACAGCTGATATCACATTCAAATGAAACACTGATTAATCACATGTACGCAGCATTAGCAGCAGCGCACCGTGGGACTCCACAGTCGTGTCCTGTCTGTCTCCTCTCCTGCATGTTTCTATTCACGCTCGTCTCATCTCTGGTTTCTTTTGTCTTCATTTCCCTTTTTTCTCGTCTTCTGATTTTCCTCTTTGCCATCAGAGGACTTTGCTCCTCCAGCTTGCCCATCGGCCTCTCAATCTTTCAATTTTCTGCTGCGGTGAAAAGCACTTAAACTTATCGCTCCATCTGTTTATTACATCCCACCTTCAGTTTCTTTCCTCCTCCGCCCCCTTGTCCCTCTCTCCTCCTCTCCATCTGTTTATGTGCGTTCTCAATAACCTTTATATCCGTCAGACTCCTCCTGCTCGCGCCCTTCATGTCCTCCACCAGCTCTCTTCCAGCGTTACAAACACTCGCACAAGCTAACTTTGGAAATGCTGCAGTTTCCAATTAAACTGATCAGTTTTGTGCCTGTGAAGCTCTGCTGCAGTCAGGTTCCTCCAAAGCCCATCGCTGTGGACTCGGTTCTGTTGCACGGTGCAGAGACCCGGCGGACAGACGGCTGATTGTCTGTTGTCAGTTTTATAACTACTTCCGTTACGCTTGTCCTGCAATTTCAGCTACCAGCAATAGTGGCCATATTTCTGCTAACAGGATTGGCATCCGCTGGGCTGTCGGCTAGGAAATCAAAAGAAGCGTTTACCCCGAGGAGGACGGGGTCGAGGGAATACTAGCTGTACTGGAGAGCAGAGAACTCAGACTGGTGTGTCTGGTTCACACCGACCGAAAGACATTACAACTTATTTATTCATTTTATTCTATTTATTTTATTTGTTAATGTGGACAGGACCGTACGTATTAATGGATCTCAGGCTGCAGTAAGAACAAAGCTAATGTCCATCTGGTGTCCCAACACATAAAAGAGAACACACGGGGATACAAACGTGTAAAAGAGCAGAGAGAAAAGAAAATAATAATAATCATAAAATAAATAAAAACAACAACAGTAAAACCCAGACAGCGGTGATAAGGTTGGGTCGGACCGGGCTGTACCGACCCTACAGCTGTGAACTGTTCCCATATGCAGGAGAACATGCTGGCTGTGGGTTTAGGGTTTCTACTCATCAATACGTTGTTGGTTTTGTGTGAAAAGCTTTTTTGCGATTATGATTTTTTTTCTCACCTTCACACTCCGGAGGTCTGAGGAGACACAGTTTATGGATTTCTCCTGACGTCAGCGCTAATTTCCTCTTTGGTGATCTATTGAAATCACCGCGAGTGACGATTGATCGGGAAAGCTCACCGGGCCGCCCGACCCGCTGCTGCTTTCACCGCACGGTGTCAGAACTAATGTGTAGAATCAGTGTTCACGGCAACAAGCAGCAGCAGTCTGACATGATGCTGTCGTTCTTCCTCTTCTGTCGCAGATCACCTTCTTCATGCTGCTGTCTGCGGTGTGTGTGATGCTCAACCTGGCCGGGTCCATCCTCTCCTGCCAGAACGCTCAGCTCGTCAACTCCCTGGAAGACTGTCAGCTGGTGAGACCAACTGGACCTTAACCCGTGCACTCGTCAGCGTTCAAAAGAAGATGTCCATCTGAACAAGTCCTGTAGTGTTGTCAGCGTCTGAGGCTCTAAAACTTTCCTCATGTCCTACTGACAGTGGAAACAATGATCCCATTGGTCCGTATGATAAATGTGCATTTCCTTGAATCAAATTAGTGAATCTGATTAGTGAACACGCCTTCTTCTCAGTAAAGCTCATCGTGCACACGATATTGATGGAATACTGTGACACAGAACATGCAGTTTGACATTTAGCAAAATGTCATGAAAATAAAGGTTAAATTTATTAAGTGTTTCATCAACATGACTTCTAGAGGACTGACGTTCTTATTCTATCCAGTAGTGAGCAGACTTTTATAAAAACCTGAGCACATGGAGCCAAAAACAACAGAAAATAAAAACTAATTTAAAATGCAGACTTGTTTTTTATCACAGCATAGAAACGTGGCCTGACCTCCTCTGAACAACAGTCTGGCATCATATCGACTAACACGTCGTCATTAATCTGTTGGTTATGTGTCTGTGACTGAAGCTGAGAGCAGCTGATGGATGAGTGACTGTGGATCACTTCAGTCACTTTCAAGACCTAAGATGTGCATCGTCGTCTGTACGGACGTTAAAACCAGTGATTTTGCTGTCGCTGTGTGACGGGCTTGTTTTCTGCATGTGAGTCTCTGAATGTCGTCTCCTGGTGAGCCGACGGGCAGCACTGCTGTTCTAAACAGGCTGCAGAACTGAGTCAGCACCGAGCAGAACTGAACTATTTGTCTGTTGATGACTAATGACTCATCATTATCACATCCATCTCTGCCAGCATCACAGATTACCAAACGACAGATAAGAAAACTTTCTCAGAGGAATGTTGCATTCAGATGAAGTTTTGGAGACTATTTTTTAAGACGTGGTCCAAACCAAGGCGGCAGGTTCTGAGATGTTGAGACTTTAACGGTGCATTCAGACACACAGATAAAGGGCCTGCTGTTCTCCACCACAAGCTGCTTGTCAGGTCTTGTTGGGAATCTCTCCTCCCCAAAGCGTTCTGGTGTCAGAAACGGGCCGAAGCCGTCTGCACCAATATCTGTAACTTTCCAAAACTGGCGTTGTGACGCGCAGCGATGGGCCGGCTGAGCAGAGGTGAGAAAGCTGGCGGGGTTCAAACTTCTTACTCAAGCTGTTTGGTTCAGCTATTTACATCACTTTCCATCTGCACAGCCGAGCACATCGCTGCAGGTTCCTTCAGGGAAGAGCTCGCTGATGTTTAAACAACGTGCTTCGTCCACGTTAGTCTGAAGCACTGAGCTGATCGCGTAGAAAACTCTGAAGTCCCATTTCACAAACTAATCAAGACATCAGGACCTTGTTTTCCAAACTTTTCATAATGAGATGCTGATTTGTTTAAGCTGAATTCACAGCGCCAGGGGTCCGTATCAAGCCGCCCCTGGTGATTCATCAGAACCCAACCCACTAACCCGACCACTTCCACATGATGAGCAGCTTTATGCCAGTGGGACCAGCCGGCTACACCAACTTCACTGCTTTACGCGGCTCCCCGGGGACCCTCCCCCAGTCGAGTCTGAAATATTAACATTCCTCATCTCCTCTCCCCAATGTAATTAACCCATACTTGTTGGGTTCACGTCCTGCTTTCTCACAATCTGGGACACATCGTGGAGGTGCGCTCTACCTCCAGTCCCTCCCGCTGTAGCTCATCGTATCTCACAGTTCTTTGTCTTGCTGTACACGTGCAGCCGCCTTCCCTCAGTCGCTCTATATTACATTCTGTATCTCCCAAGTCTAACATCTCGGCTGCACGCTTTAATTGAGAATATAGTTCATGTCAGGAGTAAATGCATCATCCACGCGTCTCAGGATGAATTACGTCAGAACGCCAAGCTCAGGTCTGATCTGTGCGTGTGTCCGGGTGTGTGTGTGTGTGTGTGTGTGTGTGTGTTTCTGTGCATGTGGCGTGCATGCACGAGTGTGGATGTGTGTTCTCCCCTCCTCCCCCCCAGCTCAAGTTTGACAGCGATGGAGTGTGCGTGTGCTGCGAGCTGCAGAAGCAGAGCTCGAGCTGCAACAACCTGGGAGAGACGCTGAAGCTGAACCCGCTGAGGGACTGCAACACCATACGCCTCCGTCTGAAGGTGGGCGGCCGCACGCATGCGTTTGCTTCATGGTGAACAGGAGAGCACTGGTGGTTTACATAGAAACGCTTTGTACAAGTTTCCTTGTCTTTAAATTGCAGGTAAATTAGATTGGACTCATGAAACTGTTCCTGCAGATCCAACTAGAGGCTGGTTCTGACATATCTGGAGGCAACACAGTGTCCTCACAGTTGTTTTCAATTCATGGAAAACAACAAAGATGGATCCTGATGCTTGTTCCTGTGGCTGCAGCAGCAGCCATGTGATGCTCCTCCTGTTAGAGACTGAAACCCTGTGGGAGGCCAGACTCACACAATACTCAGTCATCAAACTCCAAATCGCATAGTCCCATCCATCATCTCTACACCTTAATCCTCACCAGGGTCATGGGGGGCGGAGTCTATCCCAGCTGACTCAGAGTGAAGGCAGGTTCACCTGGACAGGTAACCAGTCTATCACAGGGCTACACTTAGAGACAGACAACCAAGCACACTCACATTCACACCTACGGACAATTTACAATCACCAATTAACCTCAGCATGTTTCTGGACTGTGGGAGGAAGCCGGAGAACCCGGAGAGAACCCACGCTGCACGGGGAGAACATGGAGACTCCACGCAGGAAGATCCCGGGTGTCCTCACCGGGACGCCAACCGGCGACCTTCTAGCTGTGAGGCCACGGTGCTAACCACTGATCCACCTGCAGCCCTCATCAGGATCAGTTTCCTCTAATTATAAGATCCAATGTTCAGTTCTTGTGTGTGACCTCAGTGTTCTTTAGGTTTAGTTCAGCAACAGCCAGCGTTAAGTCCCTGAATTCAGACGTTCAGTGGCTACTGGCCTGTTAGGACTGCAGCACGTTAATACGCTGACTTTCAGCTCAAAGCTTTGGTACTTTATCTTGTTTATTTTGTCGTTTATTTTTGCAGGGACAGTGCACAATTAAAAGTAATGACATCATAGACGGCTAGCAGCTAATTAACATCTCTTGTTTGTGGGCAGGAACACAAAATAATAAAAAACAACAACAGCTTATTTACAGCCTCACAAAGTCACCAGAGTGCTCTTATTCCTCTAATCAGAATAAAAGCATTTACTTGAGCAAGTCGGTGCTCTAAAGTTCTGTTCTCTGCAGCGTACCGCATGTGTGAACAATACAAAACAATGTGAGTCCGATTAATTGGGCAGGAGGTGGCAGCAGCATCCGTCTTCCCCACGAGGCAGAGCCTTCATATGCAGTGTGTATCTGGCCGGGCTGGCCGGGGTTTGCGGGTGCATGATCTCGGTAGATTATCTCGACTCCGAGTCCTCGCAGGAATGAAATACAGCGCAGCTCACGGTGCCGTTATTGGATAACGACAATCATATCCATTCATTTTATGTCCCTGATTGATTATAAAACATTGATAACCAAATAAAAGACTTCTCAGGATGAAGCATGCTTATGAAAAGAGGAAAGATCAAGCACATTTGTCACTGTGATCATTACTCATTAAAAGAGATGGGGAATTGGTGCCATAAACCTTTATTAAGTGCCAAAGTAGTCAAATGTCTTGAGTTATGTCTAAGGGGAAGCTGACAGCCCGAGTCCCTGGAGTCCTTGGCCATTTCAGACGGCTGTTAGACTGTCACCTATCCTAATGAACTCGTGATGCATTTGCAGGTTCGTTCCTCTGTCACTTAAAATCAGCAGCATGTGGATAATCAGAGCAGGTGAACCCCAACTTTATGCTCATAAACAGCAGCTCTTCTGTCATGTTTTTTTCTTAAATAAAGCAATCTACGTTGCTGCCATTCACTCTTCGCAGACACATTTAATTTCCTTTTTTTCCTCCTTTCATTACTCTGCCCGCGGCTGTAAGTCATCAGTGAGGGGGAGTATTGAGGTAATTTGTGATTTCCTGTGAAGGGGGCGGATGTGTAACCTTGCTCTGTAACTCGCTAACCGGATTGACCCGGGGCAAGGTATCTTCTGGAGGTTAAATATGTGGTGAGCAACAGTGTTAAACAGTTTGTGCGGAGGTGTTATTATATTTGTTTGCCAGGCAGGATTTATTATGGCATTATGTACATTGTGTTCTGGAGGGAAATCAAAGAAATGCACTTTCTGTGGTGCAGATGCATTACCAGGACAAAAACGAGCTCAGATGAAGCAGCCATAAATATGTCTTGGCTCACTAGACGCCTGCAGTTTGCTTTCAGACTATTGAAAAAAACAAATTTACAGCAGCAGGTTGGTTTATGTGCAGCGCCGTGTACAATAATCTCCGTTTTATGGCAGGAACGAGTCTTTACAATCAACAGCTGCACAGCAGGATACAGCAGTGATGGACGGTGAAGACGTTTCACTTCCAGCTCACATCGCAGCTATTTGCTGTGTAAATACAATGAAGCTCCTGAGTCTTCGCTCCCTGCAGGAACACGGTGGACAAACCTCTGACCAGCCGCCTCGCTGCTAGCTGACTGCTGCTCGGTGTTTCTGGGCTGTGAGCTGGCACCGCTGGCTCTACTTACCCATAATCAGCAGTTGTTTTGCCAAATGATTTTGCATTCATTGCATTTTCTGCGCATTCATCCGTCCACAGCCGAGCAAGACCTGTTTTCAGAGACCTTCTCCATCTGAGCAAACAGTGACACCAAACACGCATGTCAATGTCACGCTGGTGTCTTTCATCAGCCTCTCTGCAGGTGACGCTGAAGAGCAAAAACAGGCAGTTGAACTTTGGTTTATGGACAGCAGCGTAGTTTATACGGAAAGCTGCAAGATTTATTTTCATTGTAGGGCTGCAGGTGGATCAGTGGTTAGCACCGTGGCCTCACAGCTAGAAGGTCGGCGGTTGGCGTCCCGGTGAGGACACCCGGGATCTTCCTGCGTGGAGTCTCCATGTTCTCCCCGTGCAGCGTGGGTTCTCTCCGGGTTCTCCGGCTTCCTCCCACAGTCCAGAAACATGCTGAGGTTAATTGGTGATTGTAAATTGTCCGTAGGTGTGAATGTGAGTGTGCTTGGTTGTCTGTCTCTAAGTGTAGCCCTGTGATAGACTGGTTACCTGTCCAGGTGAACCTGCCTTCACCCTGAGTCAGCTGGGATAGGCTCCGCCCCCCCATGACCCTGGTGAGGACTAAGGTGTAGAGATGATGGATGGATGGGACTATGAGATTTGGAGTTTGATTACTGATTATTGTGTGAGTCTGGATTTTCATTTTGTCTCATACAGCGGTTTGGGAAAGCTGCAGAACGATCCACCAGCTCCTGATCATTTGTCCAAGTAAGATGTGAGGTTATGTGTGTCATCAGTCGGGCTTTGTTGGCGCTGGTCCGAAGCCCTGATGGTGCGTCCTGAGTCAAAAATGATGGCTTTTAACTTTTGAGTGAGGAACCTCGTCCTTAATGGCTCTCAGGCAAAAATCTGTGAGACGCAGCAGGGTTTCTTCAGAGTGCTCCTTTGTTTCCTCATTTCTGTGACTGCACGCCTGTTTGGAGCGGCGAGGTTTGGACGTGTGTAATGCATAGCCGCTGATTTAAAACACGACATTGTGAGTTTTCTGACAACACAATAAGATGTATAATCAGGACTGAGCTTGACGGATCAAAGACAGTCTCTGTGCTCGCCTTTCAGCCTCACTGGCGCTGAAATGCATTCGCTTCTTGGTATTCACTTTGCTCTGACATCCAAATTTCAGCTAATGGCTTCTCTCCTCAAACCTCCACTTCAGAGCTGTATCGGTTACAACATCAATCAGTGGCTTTTCCAATTCAATTGGCATTTCTGTCAAATTTGTCACTGCAAAAGGATTTCTGGTCCACTCTTCTGCACCAGATTGTCTGCTTCTCAGGGAAATGAAACTGCATGTGCATTCTAACGAAGTGAGCCCGACAACAAGCTGTTCGTCAGCGTCTGACGCATTGTTCTCGCTCTGAAAATGATCCAGTGATGGGAACGCACCACCGTCTAGACACACCAACCACCACGAGAGCTTTCTCTGCTCCTGTTTTATCAGGAGGCTGAGGAACGATGCGTTTTCCCTGAAGTCTTGCAATCAGATCAGGAAATCTGGATGTGAAAGTACCAGCCGGGAATCGCTCGACGCCTCTCTGGTCCAGCTGCACTGGTGCAGCTCTGAAGGTGGTGCTACGCGTCCAAAGCAAAGAAACAAACAACAACAATGGGTTTTATTAAACATTAAGTTGCTGCAGCAGCGTTTGGATGACCCACTGGGCCGGCCTGACCCCCGGGTTAAGAACCGCTGGTTGAGTCGGGCTTCCAGAGGTAAGTCCTGGGTCTCCTGTCAGAAACAAGGACAGTAATGAGACCAGCAGTGAGACCATTAACAGAACGCCACGCTGGCTGCAGGAAAGTCGGCAGCAGCGCTTTGATACTGGGAACCTGTCGTGTTTCAGGGAGCTGGAGGCAGCGGCTAATTGAGGCGAGTGTGTGGTTTGTGTCTGGTTGAGAACTTCACGGTTCGAGAGACAACAGTTGAGTATCAGTGAAGTGAAAAACCAATTAAGGCCTCCGTACAATCTGCCACCGTGAGGCGGAGGCCAGATTAGGCAGCAGTTCAAAATACAAAGAACAGTTTAGTTTTCATTTCTTATTTCTCTATTTTTATGTTTGAATATTATGACGTGAAAAATTTCACATCAAAAACGATCGAATCTAATCTAACAGCAGCTCATTAAACCGACCGACACCCATCAGTTCCTCTGTGATGCTTTATTTCTCCAAATAGTTTCAGATTTCTTGCATTTCCACAAAGTTTTACAGTCATACATCAGCTGGTGTCACATCATTCTGAGACACATTCAAAAATCTGAAAGGTTCAAACACAGTCATGCAGAGTGTCACTGGACTGAAACTGTGGTGCTTCAGCTGAGTTTTAAAAACAAATCACCAAGTCTTTCACTCTGCCGGCCATCGGCACACTGTAACCTCGTAAACTGTGGCCGCCGCCGCCGCCGCCGCCGAGCTAAAAGCAGCGCCGCTCTGCTCTCACCAGCTCTGTTTAGTAGCTGGTGGTGAGAAAGTCAGACCAGCTTGTGCTCCGTCCACAAGTCCTCCCTCCAGCACCGAACACGCTCCAGAGCTGTTGGTTCTCCAAAGTAAACATGTATTAGGTTGTGTTTTATAGTTGGCGCTGCACAATGTCAGCCTGGTTCCAGTTGGCATCGTCTCTGCTTCGACTTCCAGCTCACACAGACTTGATCTTTGGCAACTAGTTACCGAGTATCAGACATGTTTGAAAAACAGTTGCAAGGCTGGCAAGTCTGCACATCTCAAATGCCAACTTCATCCATTTTAGAAAAACAAACTTCAGAAGGAATGGCAGTAAGTTGTGGCGTCTGGGCGGCAGAAAGCTGCCATGAACCGGGAGCCTGAACCCTCTTTAACCCACATCAGCAGATTTAACGTAGAGTGAGCGCGACGTGGCGACACCGTCACCTCTTTAATTAACTACTGGAGGAAACAAACATCAACTAATTTATTATACGAACACTGTTAGTGATAGGATTTATGTCATCTGAAGAAAAAGCACATCATTATTTACAGAAAGAAAAAATCTGTACAAATGGTGCCTCATATCCAGAATCAGAATCAGAAATGCTTTATTGATCCCCTATAGGGGAAATAGCTTTCTGTCACAGATGCTCCCATCAACGCCTTAAAGAAGCAGGACAGTAAAATCATATAATACAAATATAAACATGAGTATTAATATGAAATAAAATAAATATAAACTCAAAAAATAAATCAACATTCTGCTCTTCTATATGTATATACAGTCTAATAATAAGAAAGCTAAGATATAAAGTCACTAAGCACTAAGTTACTGACGTGATAAAGCACCCTGTTAGATACGACCAAAGGTATCTTGGTCCCCTGTCAGTAGGATGAGGGTTAATAAACTTGGTTCCTCAGCTCGGTACCCCAGCAGGCGGGCCGGCCGTCCTCTTTGCAGGCCCAACACAAGCCGGAGTCGTAATGTCGCTGATAATTACGTGAATCTGGTGAAGAGTCGACTGGAAAACTTCATGTGGCAGCTTCACTCTGAGCCTGTGTCCACAAAGAGCCGTGTGGTGGATTCAGCTCCAGCCTCCTCTGCTCTTGACTTTTAGAAACCACGCTGATGTATTCACAGACACTGCTGAAGGCGTCTGCTACACGTTTATGCACCTGTGTGGGTGCACGGCGGTCTGATTACAGATGTATGTGCTGAGAATACATCTCCACTAGTTGTGCCGTGACATGTTTAAAGTCTC